TGTGTGTGTGCATTAATGTATATTGCTTGAGAAGAAAGGAAGTAGTAAGAAAGGTTTTTGAAAAATGGGTATTCCAATGTAAAGCGCATTGAACTACTTTTTTTGGAAATGCGCTATATAAATGTTATATATTATTTATTATTATTTACTTGAGAGTAACATACAGAGAAAAGCAGGAGAACAAACTGATAACATCTTTCACTCTCTATTGCCCGGGTACCCATGATCCAATCTGGATGAACTGAGGAAAATAATTCATTGAAAGTGCCTTTCCCAAGGACACAATGTCAGATCCCTGACGCGATTCGAACACACGAACTTACGGATAGGAGTCCGAGAGCTTAACCACTGAGCCATTGATGCCACCCTTTTCCCTCTCCATTTCTTCTTGCATCACGACGATCACAACCTGCAGTTTTTCATTCCTGTCAGACATAGATTATTCTAGCTGCAAACGCTCAGTGACCCCCACCACTCCTCGACCCCCGCCACCATTTTGAACTTTCTGACGTAATGCTCGGATCAGGTAGGCCCCACAGATGATGTCGTCTGTTCTTGTTTCGTGTAATGAAAATGTGACTCTTGTTTGGCAGCATCGTAGGTCAACCCCCACTCGATCCCCTAAACAAACAAACAAAAACATGCAGACAAATAACCAAACAAACAACCAAACAAACAAAGAAAAAAAACACACGAACGAACAAACAAACAAACAAACAAAATACATAAACAGACAAACAAACAAACAAAAAAGCAAACAAACAATTAAACATTTCAACGACACTGTCCAGTTCGTCCACTTGTCTAAGACAACCACCTTTTCCCCCACGACATTGGGTGGTTGTCTTTAACAATTCCTGCTGTACTCACGTTCTCGCCATCTCTCCCGGCAAGTCGTGTCCTGTACGGTAAGGTTGGAACCAGTGCTCGCAGCCCAGTGACTGAATGTAGCCCTCAAACTGTGCCATGCTCATGGGGACGCCAAGTGGCTCCAGCTCTCCCCTGTTGATATACATGTGAAATCAAGCCCTGTTTGGGGATTATAGACACGCACACACATACACACACACACACACACACACACCAAACACACACACACACCAAACACACACACACACACACACACGCACGCGCAAGTGCGCGCGCGCGCAAACACACATACACACATGTACGTTCACGCATTTATCAACATATACATACATCATCACATACGTACGCGTAATCACACACACACACACACACA